CGCCGCCGCCACCACTTCAGACAATCAAATTCCCTTAAGCACGGTCATTGGCGCGTGCGTCGCGGCGTTCGCAGTGCTCATTCTTGCTGCCCTACTCGCCCTCTATTGTTCTAAGCGCCAAAAATTAAACCGAAAGCGTTCTCCGCCTGGGTGCCACCGTAACGCCGCAAATGATGTTTCGCGTCGTCGCTCTCATCTCGAGCCTTGGGGTCGCTTACCAGATGTCAATGAAGATCGTTGGGAAGGAAAATTATCCATGAGACAACGTCCCCTTTCAACTCCTATTGAGAAGTTGGCAGCGATGTTCAATCGTTCCCCGAGTACCACCTCTGGGAGAAGTCATCCGAGGGCCCTCACGTTCGCGAATCTTTTGGCACATTACAACCTTTCGAGAAATACCATCCTGACTTGGCTGCTGAGATGGCTTCGCAGGCTGCTATCGCAGAAACAGATGCCAAGATCACGAAACCACCTCCAGCACGGACATTTGTGGGCCATGTAGAGTCTTTCTCATGGGACGGGGAAACTGTCCGGGGAGACTCTTTCTTGTCGAGAGGGTCACGGTTATCAGGAATATGTCACCCACTATGATGTGCAAGGAAAAGGTGACCCCTGCAGCGACAGGGTCAGATCTGCATCGCTGGCAAAGCGCAGAAGTCCTGCACACAGATCATCTGGAACGTGCAGATGGTAAACAGAATCCTTTCGCGGACACCGCGATCGTTCCGCTGAAGATGGCGGCAAGTAACCCCTTCTTCAATGCACAGGAAAAGCCAACCAAACGGACGCTGCTTCCAAACACTACGGCAAATCCTTTCGCTGACTTATACTCAATTACTGCACCCCCTACAGAATCTACCACCAATCCACCTCCTACCGGCAATGGTCGAGCCCTACAATCTCTCATTGCGGCACTCGAAACGTCTCCTGCGGAGGTGGAGGGGCGTTTTCGCGCCATTTCTATGCAATCGTCTGTTTATTCCCGGGGTTCGTACCTAGCGAGCGAAACCGGCGAGGATGCCATCAGTATAGCAGCTTTTCCTTATCCTCCGACTTAAATTCCGCACGCATTGTTTTGCTCTCGTGGTGCTCAAGACCGTCCAATTGCATCGCTAGCCATACGCCCTCCTTGCACATCCTTACTTCCGACTACGTATGTTATTTCGTTTTTATGTGTTGTTTCCTGTTTCCATATTGTGCATATCTATACCTTTATTATGTTTTCACACATGTACAGGCCGGGCGCGCACGCCGATCTGGTATCGACACCCACTTGGTCACTCCGTTTCACGCGTTACTTCGTGTACCTTGTTCTCGCACTTTGATCGATACTGGAATGCGCGTTTTCCTTGTGCAAACATGGCCTCCCACTTGCCCGTTTTTCCCCTTCGTCTCGTCACACGTAGGAGTACATGCAAATATACATCTGGTGAATCGAATGTCTAGCTCACAATGTGGCCTTTCAACGACGGCACACCATCGCAGGGCAGTCTCAAATATACTTGGCCCTCTCCTAAAGTCTTGCACTGCAGATGAACTCCACGAGCAATGCAACATGCATACATGCTAATCCAAAGAATAGTTACCATACACATTCTCTCAAGATTCGCCCCAGCGGTAGACAACGTTAGGAAGATATTTACATAAGGTTTCAAGAGATCTGCATACAATACATAGGAGTCTGGCACTTTCATAGAAAGCATCTTCGAGGGAGCTAATCGACCCGTCCGCCCTTTCCTCACTAACAGAATCAATGCAAATATTTTCCAGACTAGTGTTCGCGACGTGGGATATAATAACGCGATGGCTATCTACACGATATTGAATATCTCAACTTTGCTTCTCAAAATGCTAGCCCGGTCTATAGGCTGAGCGGTAATGAGAATAGAAGACGCGATCCTTTTGTGCTCGTTGAAAGGTAGTCGAGACAACAGAAGAGCATTAAATGGCCGCCCAAGTGTAGAAAGCAGCTTCTCTTCATTCACGGCAAGATCTAGCGCGGTGGGAACAAGCGACTTTGGGTGCCAAGGGCGAACAACCTGCAGAGAACCTTGCGACCCCGTTGCATTTTCCAGCTTGTCTGGAAGTGCAATCTCAAGTGGCTTGAGGCCGAATGCCTGGATCTTGTACGTGTAACTCGGTGCGGATGGATCTGCCACTTTCAGCTGAACAGCTGTAACACGGTGAGCGATACATGATAATATAAGGCAGCCATTGGTAAATCGTGGGAAGGGTGCGCTGGGAAGGGTATAGAAGCCGGACACGGAACGAGTGAGAAAATGAGGGCGGAGAGACGTGGCAAGTGAGCGACGCAATTTTTGCATTGCTTTGAACGACGTAGACTGCTGACTCGTCGATGACTGCTCTTCTGCGCTTGAGCGGGGTGGAGGCAATGGCACCTTTTGATACGAGGTGATCTGGGCAGGGAAACAGCTATGAAATGGTGATGGCTCTCCGACCCAATCCAAAACCGAGATGTCTCCGGACTGTGATATGATTTCGGCCAAGAGACGGCCAAGCGCGTTCTCGGCACTTTCGCCATAAAGAACGGGCAGGTGAAGGTTGAAGATCCCAAAGAGCGAATAAGCAACATCTTCAGGCCGAGTAGTACAACGTAGTGACGCCCATTGGAGTCTGGAACGTGCGTCATCCATACCTGGAAAAAAGTTGGTAAGAAACCGGGACTCTATTCCCGTTGCCCTCTCTAGCTCTTCCAGCACAGCAGCATCGGCTTTATGGTTCGAAGATGTGAGGTTCTTGTAAAGTGACCAGATTCGGGTGTAGAATAATATGCGGCGAGGAGCCAGTAGTTCTTGGAGGGTCCACCCACGTCTGAACCACTCGCTGCCCTCGAACGAACCTGCATCGGGAACGTCGGAAAGATACACGATAGTCAGGGAAGACCGTCGATACCATGCGAACATTGATCCTATAGCTTCTTGTAACTCGGCACTGCTATTTTTATCTATACAGCACGTGTCGCTCCATGCCCACAAGTAATCCCACTCGCAGGCAACAAGACAGAACGCTTGGAGCTTTCCAAAGCCCCCATCTGTTGACATAGCATATATCGGCCGGCCCTCGACGTCGTGTATTAATGGCTCGCGTTCACCCCAGCGGTGAGAGAACGTGACATACTTAAAGTATCTCGAGACTTCGGTATGGATGAGTTTCATTCGCTGGTCCGGGTCGCACATTGCGTACGAAGACAGTAGGTGATTGTATTGCTGACTGGTCATAAAATGTGATATCTGTGCGTCCCGGTTGCATAGGATGCCAGTAGGTGTGTGCAGCAACCTGGGCGGCGAGGTTCCGAGAGTCTCCAATGCGATATTACGGATGACTTCCTTAATGTCAAAATGGGAGACAAGTGAGGAATTGGGGGACGCCTTAGCAACTTGTAGCCTGATTTTCATTTGGAGATAAGCCATAAGACAGCGCTGAGACGTGGCGTAACTTGGGTCTTCCGATATGAGTAGCTGCAGGACTTCTTGTTGAAGCGCAATAGCCTCTTCCAGATCAGCTGGGGTGGATTGTTGACGAAACCGTTCCACTAGACATTGTGCAAGGTCGTGGAGGGACGAAGCGCGACTGGGATGCCCAGTCGGACGGAGTTGGAGTACACACTTGTATAATGTGATGGCTTCATTGAGGTCGACGATTGCATGCTGAATTTGGAATCTGGCCCTAAGGTAATTCGCAAGGACACATAGATCGTCTGCCGCTCGACCAAGCTCGACCAGTTCGTCTGAGTTTGTCCCCTGGACCAGCCTCTGAACCCATCCCCTAACGGAAATATCCTCAGGTAGTAATCGAAGCTCTAAAGCATATGTCGCAAGACAAATAGCATTGTTCAAATCGGACATCGTGGACTGCTTCTGAAACCTGTCCCAGAGGTGTAGCGAGAGCTCAAGGAGTGACGAGGCGAAATCAGTTCTCCTCTTCGGACGCGCCACCAAAATCCAGCCGGGCATGTCAGCCTGTCCCTGAAACCTCTTCCAGACGTCGCAAGCAAGGTTGTAAAGAACTGTGCCACGACCGGAATGCCCAGGTGGACAGAGCTCTAGTGCTGCACGCCCGAGTGTGATGGCTTCTTCCAAGTCATCGACTAACCCTCGTTTGTCACGCCTATTCGATAGACAGAGAGCAAGTTCACGGAGTGATGAAGACCGACACGGATGCCCAGAGGGACGTAGTTCCAAAGCTGCGCGGTGCAACGCAATCGCTTCCTCCAAGTCGTGTATTGTAGCCTGCTTCACGAGCCTCTTCCTTAGGTCACAAGCGAGATTGTGAAGAGATCCATCACGATCGGAATGCCCTGGCGGATGGAGGACTAGTGCTGCACGTCCACACGAGATAGCTACTTCCAAGTCGTCGACTGTCCCAAGCTTGTCATATCTATTCGACAGACACAGAGCAAGCCCATGGAGCGTCAAGGACCGATCAGGATGTCCAGGGGGACACAGTTCCAGAGCTGAACGGAGCAGTTCAATCGATTCCTCCAAGTCGTGAATCACAGCCTTCGTCGTGAACCTCCTCCTGAGGTTGCCAGCGAGATTGCAGAGATATACACCACGATTGAGGTGCCCAAGTGGACACAGCTCCAGCGCTGCACGTGTAAGCGTGATAGCTTCTTCTAAGTCGTCGACTTCCCCTTGCTCGTCATATCTATATGAAAGGCAGGGAGCGAGGTGGTGTAATGAGGTGGACTGATGATACATGTCGTTTTCGACTGGTTGGAGTTCTAAAACTGCGCGGTGGAAAGTGATCGCCTCGTTCAAGTCTTCAATTTCGTTATCTCTGTTGTATTTCTGGCAGAGGGCACAAGTCAGCTCGAAGAGGGGAGCATGCCGGCCATCTTCCCGTGGAGGACAGCGTTTCAGAGGGGTGGCAGGGTGCGTGTGGGCCGGGGCATGGGGGTTCGAACTGTCGTCCGTTGAAACCATTGAATGCTGTTACACAGGAAGGATATACACGGTGGAAATGAATATGCCTTTGGACCAAGTCCGCCAATCAGCTGCAATAAGACGGGAACAGTACAATCATACGTTACACTTGAAGCGGAAACGAAAAAGAAACGGGATCAACAATCTTGAATGTCAGGATGCTATCCAAATCAGTGAGGCTAATTAAGCAACCCGAAAGAACTCACAGCTAGAGACAGAGTATAGAACAGCGATCTTGGGTACCGGGGAGAACGAAGTGTGAATAGCACTACATCCAGGTCAATGCACAACGCAGCGATTCTCCGATAAGAACTCACCGATGGATGAGAGAAGTGCAAGGTGGTTGGCAAGCCGAGAGGAATTTGGCTATGCTCCTTGGGTAAGTTACGCAGATTGGAGAACTGACGGGGGCATAGCCTGAGCTTCAGAGCCTCGTGGCGTATCGGTCGAGCCCACACTCTTGCTTTCCACCTCGGGGCGAGGTCCCAGAACCAAGTTGACATGCGCGAGTTGGAGGATGCGACTTAGCTCTCAGCTCGCCGATATTTTCAGTGACAACGAATACGATCATCTAGGTGGACAAACTGTGGACTGTCTCCATACTAAACAACGTAGGTTTGTGCCTGTCCGGCCTCTCTGTGATTCGGACCTTTGCCAACAACAGGTCAAACGTGCAAAAAAGCACAAGAATATAGCCTTGAACGAGTGGTTTCATGTATGTGCGGTACCGACAACTCTGGTGCAAGGCGCAGAAGAGCCATGTTGTGGTGACCTTTAAACAAGATGCCATTAATGATTGGAGGCGAGCGCCATCGCTACCGCAGTTACCAGGTCTATCGGCGTGTAGTTGGACATATCGTGGCTCACCATGTAAGTATCGGGTTCTCGCAACCACGCGCAGGCGGGAAGTGGCTTCGTCTTCATACCACTCGGATCAAAAGATATAGCGTTCCTCCCGGTCTCTGATTTCGTCGTTGTCCTACTCCAATCGGCATCTGCTCTCGCCCAGAGCTTCCGGCATACCACTCGTCGCGTCCTCAGATAATACTCAGTCATTCTCAACCGCTACTGTATTCGACTCGTACTACAAGACAGCCGACTCCGCATCCGCCAGGCAGTCAGATCTTCTTAAGCGCGGTCATTGGAGCATGCGCCTCAGCGTTCGCAGCGCTCATTCTCGGCGTCCAACTCGCCTCCTATTGTTCTAAGCGCCAAAAATTAAACCAAAAGCGTCCTCCATCTTCGCGCCGTCGCTCGCATCTCGAGCCTTGGGGTCGCTCACCAGACGACAGGACAGTGAAGATCGTTGGGAAGGAAAATTATCTACGAGACAACGCCCCCTTCAAGTCCTATTGAGAAGCGCTAACTCTGGGGAGAAATCATCCGAGGGCCCTCACGTTCGCGGATCTTTTGGCACATTACAACCTTTCGAGAAATACCATCCCGACTCTGCACAGGCCGAGCACGCACGCCGATCTGGTATCGACACTCACTTGGTCACTCCTTTTCATGCGTTGCTTCGAGTACCTTGTTCTCACACTTTGATCGCTACTGGAATGTGCGTTTTCCTTGTGCAAATATAGCCTTCCACTTGCCTTTTCCCCGTCATGCGTAGTAGTAGACATAAATAGTTACATGTCTTGTAAATTGAGTGCCACGCAACATGGCCTCTGAACGCCATCATAGGGCAAGAAAAACATACACATTGTAAACCATACCGTGACGGGTAATGCAACTAGTGTATATGACAGCACCGAGGCTCGAGGAATCGCGGCATAGCATCAGAGGGACAGATATGACAAACACGGGGGGGTCGACGATTTAGAAGAAGCCATCACGCTTGGACGTGGGGCACTAGAGCTTCGTCCACCCAGGCATCCCTATCGCCGTCTATCTCTCTACAACCTTGCTACTAACTTCTGGAGGAGGTTTCGGAACAAGTTGCCATGCGTGAGCTCGATGAAAGTGATTGTGCTGCATCGTGCAGCTCTGGAACTTTCTTCCCCTGGACATCGTGATCGGTCTTCAACACTCCACGAACTTACTCTCTGTCTCTCGAATAGATACGAAAATCAGGGGGTAGTCAATGACTTGGAAGAAGTCGTGACACTCGAACGTGCGGAACTAGAACTGTGTCCGCGATGGCATCCTGACCATGCTGCATCTCTCCACAACCTTGCTCGCGACTTCAGGAAGCGGTTCACAGAAAAGGCTGCGATTCGCGACTTGGAGGAATCAATTGAGCTGCTCCGTCCAGCTTTGGAACTCCGTCCCCCTGGACATGTTGATAGGTTCTCAACGCTCCATGAACTTGCTCTCTGTTTGTCAATAGATACGACAAACTGGGGACAGTCGACGACTTGGAAGAAGCTATCATACATGAACGTGCAGTGTTAGAGTTCTGTCCACTAGGGCATATCAATCGTGGCGAGTCTCTCCACAAACTCGTTTGCTACCTCAGGAAGAGATTCGCGAAACAGGCTACGATATGCGACTTGGAGGAAGCGTTGAGCTGCACCATACAGCTTCGGAACGACGTACCTCTGGACATCAACGTCGGTCTTCGTCACTCCGTGAACTTGCTCTCTGTCTGTCGAATAGATATGACAAGCTAGGGGTAGTTGATGACCTGGAAGAAGCCATCACACTTGAACGTAAAGCGCTAGAGCTCTGTCCACCTGGGCATGCCGATCATGGTTCATCTCTCCACAACCTTGCTTGCGACCTCAGGAGGAGGTTCGCGAAAGAGCCTGTGATCGGCAATTTGCAAGAGGCGATTGAGCTGCTCCGCCCAGCTTTGGAGCTACGTCCCATCGGACATCCTGATCGGTCCTCATCGCTTCATGAGCTTGCTCTCTGTCTGTCGAATAGGCATGACAAGCTGGGGGTAGTCGATGATTTGGAAGAAGCCATCGCGCTTGGACGTGCGGCACTAGAGCTCTGTCCAACAGGGCATCCCGATCGTGGCGTAGTTCTTTACAGCCTTGCGTGCAGCCTGTGGAAGAAGTTTCAGAAGCAGGCTGACATGCCCGAGTTGCGCAGGGAAATTTTCCTTGATCAGTCGGTGTCGGTGGTCTGTCCAACAAGCAGGGCCGATGTCGCCTTTTCCCTTTTCGAGCTTTCACTACACCTGTGGGACCGGTTTCAGAAGCAGGCCACGATGACCGACTTAGACAATGCTATTTGTCTTGCAACGTGTGCTGTAGAGCTCCGACTACCTCATGAAGATGCTTCCGTAGGAGCATGGGTTCAGAGTGTAGCCCAGGGGGCAGACTCTGGCGAACCCGTAATGCTTGGTCAAGCGGCAGACGATCTATGTGTCCTTGCAAATTGCTATAGGGCCAGATACCAAATTCAGCACGCAATCGTCGACCTGAACGAGGCCATCACATATTACCGATATATGCTGCAACTCCGCCCTACTGGACATCCTAGCCGCGTTTCGTCCCTTCACGACCTTGCACAGTGTCTAGCAGATCGGTTTCGTCAACAATCCACAGCAGCTGATCTGGACGACGCCATCGCCCTTGAGCAAGGAGTCCTCGATTTACTCGTACGTGGAGATCCAGGTTACGACGAGTCCCGGGTCTATCTTACGGCCTACCTCCAGATGAAGTTCAACTCACAAGTTGCTACGATGTCCACGGATGCCTCAAGTGTTACCCTCTTTGACGTTAAGCAATTTATCCGTAATGTTGCATTTGAAACCCTTAAGACTACACCGACCAGGCTGCTGCACACACCTACCGGCATCCTATGCAACCGTGATGCGCAGGTGTCACAATTCTTGAACAGTCAACAGTACAAACGGCTGGTGTCTCTGTGCACAACAGGCAGTCGGGCCCTGCAAATGGAACTCGTCCATACTAATGTCTCGAGACACTTCCAGTACGTCACGCTTTCTCACCGCTGGGGTGATGCAGAGCCATCATTGCGCGACATCGAGGGCCACTCGATATATGGCATGTCAACCAAGGGAGGCTTTGGAAAGCTCCAAGCCTTCTGTCGTGTTGCTTTGGAGCGGGATTACATATGGGCATGGAGCGATACGTGCTGCATCGACAAACACAGCAGTGCCGAGGTACAAGAAACGATAGGTTCAATGTTCGCGTGGTATCGGCAGTCTGCCTTGACCATCGTATACCTCTCTGATGTTCCCAGTGCTGGTTTTCTCGGCAACAGCGAATGGTTCAGACGCGGGTGGACCCTCCAAGAACTACTGGCTCCCAAAACCGTAGTATTCTATACCCAAGACTGGTCACTTTATAAGAGCTCAACGCCGTCGAATCATAAGACCGATGTCGCCGTGCTGGAAGAGCTGGAGAGGGAAAATGGAATAGAATCGCGTTTCCTCGCCAACTTTTTTCCCGGTATGGATGATGCACGCTCGAGACTGCAATGGGCATCATCGCGTCGCACCACCAGACCCGAAGATATTGCTTATTCGCTTTTCGGGATCTTCAATCTTCACCTTCCCGTTCTGTATGGCGAATCCGCCAAGAACGCGCTTGGCCGTCTTCTGGCGGAAATCATATCAGATTCTGGGGATATCTCGGTTCTAGATTGGGTTGGGGAGGCATCTTCGTTTCATAGCTGTCTCCCTGCTCACATCACCTCGTATCAAATATTGCCATCGCCTCGACTCCAACCTAATTCGGAAGAACAGTCATTGGCGATAAGTCAGGGGCTCTCGTCATTCGAGGTACTGCGTAACTTCGCCACGTCTCTACTCCCCCAATTTCTCAGTCGTTCTCTGACACCATCAAGCATTGCTCCGGCGGATCGGCTGCGAACTCCGGATTCATACGCACCAAGCGACGTGTATGATTTCAGCTCATTTACTAGAGTACCCATTCCGCGATTCCGCAACCGTTGCCTTATACTGCCGTGCATCGCCCACCGCGTCATAGCGGCTCAATTGAGAGGCGAAGATCTATCGGCACCGAGTTACACATACAAAATCCAGGCATGCGGTCTGAGACCATTGGAGGTTGAACTTCCAGACAAGCTAGAAAGTGCAACCATCTCACAAGGGGCTCTGCAGCTCGTTCGCCCTTGGCACTCGAAGGGTCAATCTGCCGTATTAGACGCCACAAGTGAAGAGCGGCTACTTCTTACACTTGGAAGGCCATTTAATGCTCTTCTGCTGATTGAAGTGCCTCATTCACAGTACAAAAGGATTGCGTCTTCTACGCTCATTACTGCTCAGCCCGCAGACTCGGCCAGCATTCTGAAAAGCAAAGTCAGGATATTTCATATTGTGTAGATATGTTCAATTTATGGCGATTCGGGATATCCATGACGTGATTGAGATGCGTCTGCGGGATCGATCTAGTACTGCTTTGTCTGTAACGGACGTATCAGTGTATAGACCAGGGTATGTATGTATGGTGTGTACATGCATCGGCGTCGTCGCACGTTTGAATCGGTCGATAGTACTGAACTGCTGAGCGTCGTATCCGAGTCACTTTGTTATACTCCACCGTCTACGCCGCACGCTATGGTGGGTGCCAGTCAGACATGCCACTGCAACGGAGTCGGACGGACAGATATGATTATTCACGTGTAGTGCTACTAGCGGCGCGTGCTGGCACGTCGGAGGTATCAGCCTAACCTGACGACATAGTAGTAACACAATCCGGGGATGAGACATTGTCATGATGGAATGTATTACCGAAAATTTAAGTAAAAAAGAACAAGAGAAGAAGTATGGTCAGTAAGGGCCGCCGAGGTGGAATGTCGGACCGGTGCGACGTGTATCACCATCACTGCTGCTCGCCGCTGCTTGGCAGTATCGACGAGTTGTTGCTGACATCGTTTGGGAGGCAACGACAGCGCTCCCTGTCCCCACAATACCATTTGCGGGCGTCCAAGGTTGCTTTGAGGAGCCTTGTGTGTCATAGACGGGCGGCACTTCCATAAACCTTGAGGAAGGCTTCCTCATCTCCTTGAAATCTGGGGGAAAATAGACTCAGAGGGGGGAAGAAGCCTGGCAGTGTGACGAACTAACTTACTCATTGACAAATTCCGTCGCGATGACCTTTCGTTGGTAGTGCTTCGTGTTGAATCGCCGTCCATCCTTCCCGTTGTAGTAGTGGCGTGGCCAGTTCTTGAGCGGAATGTGCTGGCCAAGCCGGGGCTCACCCACTGTCCAATGGCGCACAATGCCCCTCCAGGACAATGCCCCTCCAGGACAATGCCCCTCCAGGACAATGCCCCTCCAGGACAATGCCCCTCCAGGACAATGCCCCTCCAGGAGTCGGATTTTGGCGTCCGTACCCTATCCACATGGAAGACAGGCACGTTTGGAATGGACACTCCTAAGAGGAGGAAAAGGAGCGGGTGGTGGTCCTCTGGGGTGTAGTATGTGAAGGGAGGGTCGCCCAGATGGAGACGTCTGACAGTTTGAGGGCCTGTGGCACCCTGAACTGCATCCGAGTCGGTTGCACACTGGGAGCAAGTGGAATGGAAACGGACTGGATCACTGGAGACGACAAGGTTGTGCCGGTCTAGTGTGCAGGCGATGGGTGTGGCAGGGACTGGGTGGCTGGGATACAAACAGACTGGATCGCCGGAGGATCGAGGTCGTGGTCTGTGCAGGCGAGTATTTACAACCAAATTGCTGAGGTTGCTGAGCTGTTGTCGAATCTCCCTTACGTCTGTTGACAATGAATAACTGAATTCTTTCAAGGTCGCGTGCAGCACTGCCATGTCTGCTGTTAGCGATGCATGGGCCATGTTGAGTGCCTCAGGGGAGGCCGGCCGGACGAGTGCGGCATCACCTGCGAGCAAACCATCAGCTTCGCATGAGACGGGTCGCGCTGTCGCCATCGGTGTGTTGCGCTGCAAGGTCGTTTTCAAGCCACCGCGTTATGGTACACGTGTATAGGCTGATACCAACACTTACCTCTTGAACAAATTGTTCGGGACCAGTGAATGCATTCGGTTCAGGCACGGGTGGACCCTCCGAGAACTACTGGCTCCCCGAGTCGTACCATTCTGCAACCAAAAGTGGTCACTTTACAAGAACCTAACATCTCCGAATCATAAAATGAATGCCGCTGTGCTGGAAGAGCTAGAAAGAACAACTAGAATAGAGTCCCGGTTCCTCACTAACTTTTCTCCGGGTGTGGACGATGCACGTTCCACCATTCGGCCAGAGGATATCGCTTACTCACTTTTTGAGATCTTTACGTAGGTAAATCGTCTTCGTTATGCCAACTTGTGCTCCAATGGTCAAAGGGGGCCCATTATATAGTGTTCGGTTCGTATGTATTTATGAGTCCACCTGCAATATTTCATTACAATGCAGAGTTCGTGTACTCCGTAGTCGTCCCCTGTCGCAAATTTCTTGGGCACGTGATAAGAACCTTATAATACATGTTAAGGGTGGCTGTTCACACTTCCGTTATAAGCCATGCCAATGCCACCCATGTGTCATTGAAAGATTGCCAAAAATGGGTATTTGTACATAATATTTTACACATTTGCACTATATCTTAGATAAAATATCACATATTTGCTATAATCTAGCCAAACCTGACCATTATAATGGCAAGTGGTCCATTACACGCTGCTTACAATGGGGGCACGTGACAATGGACCAAATAAATTTGCGACATTAGGCCGTCAGTCACAGCAGTCAGACTGGAGTTCACTGGACATATACACGCACGTACTCCTACAAGATACGACCGGACGAAGGAGAACAAAAAGTAAACGGCAGGACAACGTGAATACTGATACCAAGATATCATAACGCCATGGCTATCTACACAATATTGAATATCCGAATTTTGCTATTTCAGAATGCTGGCCTGGTCTATGGGCTGAGCAGTAATGCGAGTAGAAGACGCCATCCTTTTGTGCTCGTTATGAGGTAGTTGACTCAACAAAAGAGCGTTAAATGGCCACTCAAGTGTAGAGAGCAGCTGTTCTTCAGTCGCAGCATCTAGTTCGGCAGATGAACCAGGAAGCTTCGAGTGCCAAGGGCGAACAAGATGCAGAGAACCCTGTGGCCGCGTTACATCTTCTAGCTTGTTTGGCAGTGTGATTTCAAGTGACCTCAGACCGAATGCCTGGATGTTATACGTGTAACTCGTTGCGAATGGATCTGACCCTTTCAGATGAACCAAGGTGACACAATGGGCAATACATGGTAGTATGAGGCGGCGATTGAGAAAACGTGGAAGGGGCACCCTAGTGAGCAAGTGGAAGTCGTACGCGTCACCTGGGGAGTATGAATCTTCGAATGATATTGGTGGGGGACCCTGACTTATCGCCGCTGACGGTTCTTCCGCATTAGGTCGAGGTCGAAGCAACGGTAGCGTTTGGAACGAGGTGATCTGTGCAGGGAAACAACTATGAAACGGCGACGCCTCCCCAACCCAATCCAGAACTGAGATATCCCCAGACTGCGAGATGATTTCTGCCAGGAGACGCCCAAGCGCGTTCTCAGCAGATTCACCATACAGAACGGGAAGATGAAGATTAAAGATCCCGAAAAGTGAGTAGGCGATATCCTCAGGCCGCGTGGTACAACGTAATGACGCCCATTGGAGTCTCGAACGAGCGTCATCCGTACCTGGGGAAAAATGAGTGAGGAACCGGGATTCTATTCCAGTCGCCCTCTCCAGCTCTTCCAGCACCGCGATATCAGTTTTATGGTTCGAAGACGTGAGGCTCTTGTAAAGTGACCAGGGTTGAGTGTAGAATAATATGCTTCGGGAGGCTAGTAGTTCTTGGAGAGTCCACCTGGTCTGAACCATTCGCTGCTCCCGAACGAACCGGTATCCAGAACATCAGAGAGATACACAGTGGTTAGGGAAGACCGCCGATACCACACAAACATCGATCCTATGGCTTCTTGCAATCCGGCACTGCTGTCTTTGTCTATGCAGCACGTGTCACTCCATGCCCACAGGAAACCTCGTTCGCAAGCAACAGCGCAGAAGGTTTGCAGCTTTTTAAAGCCCTCCTTTGCTGACATATCATATATCAGGTGGCCCTCGATGTCGCGTAATGATGGCTCGTCTTCACCCCAACGGTGAGAAAGCATGACGTACTGAAAGTATTTCAAGATAGCCGTATGGACCTGCTCCATTCGCTGACCTGGGTCGCATACTGTGCACAGTGACACCAGCCGTTTGTACTGTTGGCTGTTCATAAACTGAGTCAACTGCGCATGCCGGTTGCACAGGATGCCAGTATGCGTGTGCAGCAGCCTGGTTGGTATGGTTTTGAGGATTTCGAATGCGACATTACGGATGAGTTGTTCGACATCAAAGTGGGTAACAGGTGAGGCATTGGAGGACGTCACCGCAGCTCGTGACTCGACCCTCAGGCGGAGGTAGGTAGCAAGGGAGCACTGGGATAAATCGTAACCAGGATCTCCAGGTATGAGTACCTGCAAGACTTCTTGCTCCAACAAAATAGCCTCGTCGAGATCCGCTGTGGCGGATTGTTGACGAAACCGGTCTGCTAGACACTGTGCCAGGCTATGCAGGGATGAAGCATGAATAGGATGGCCAGTGGGGCGGAAGTGCAGTACATATCGACACAGTATTATGGCCTTGTTCAGGCCGACAGTCGCACGTTAATCGCCAGATCTATGCCTCACAAAGTAATTGACCAGAGCGCCTAGATTGTCTATCTCTCGACCAAGTACGGCAGGTGCATCTGATTCGGTGCCCTGGGCTAGCCTCTGAACCCAAGCTCTCTCGCGATGGGAGTCTCGTGGTAACCGAAGTTCCAGAGCATACGTTGCATAATAAATAGCATCGTCTAAGTCAGTTACCGCGGCCTCCCTCTGGAACCTGTCCCAGAGGTGGAGTGAGAGCTTGAGAAGCGAAGATGCGAGATCAGCCGTGCTTGTTGGATGGACCACCGGCGCGATTTGATGAAGAGAATTTGCGCCGTGCAACGCAGGCATGTCAACTTGTTTCTGAAACTTTGTCCAGAGGTTGTGAGCAAGGTCGTAAAGATATTTGCCACGATCGGGATGCCCTGGTGGACAGAACTCTAGTGCTGCACGTAAGAGCGAGATGGCTTCCTCCAAGTCACTGATGGCAGCCCGTTTGTCAAACCTGCCCTTGAGGCAGCGAGCGAGATTGTAGAGTGGCATCACGATGACGATGCCCTGGTGGACGGAGCTCTAGTGCTACACGTGCGAGCGAGATGGCTTCCTCCAAGTCGCAGATGGCAGCCTGTTGGTTGAACCTGTTCTTGAGGTAGAGAGCGAGATTGTTGAGAGTGGCATCACGATCAGGATGCCCTGGTGGACGGAGCTCTAGTGCTGCACGTGAAAGCGAGATGGCTTCCTCCAAGCAGCCGATTACAGCCTGTTCGTCGAACCTGCTGTTGAGGTAGGCGGCGAGATCGTGGAGAGTGACACCACGAAGAGGATGCCCAGGTGGACGGAGCCCTAGTGCTCTACGTCCAAGCGTGATGGCTCTTTCTAAGTCTTTGACTGCTCCCTGCTCGTCATATCTATCCGACAGACAGCAAGCAAGATTGTTGAGTGACCTGGACCGATGATACCACACGCTTTCGACTGGTCGGAGTTTCAAAGCAGCGCGATGCAAATCGATCGCCTCGTTCAAGTCGTCGATTTCACGCTCTTTTTTGTATCTCTCATGGAGTGCGCACGCCAGGCGGAAGAGGGCATCATACCGGCCACCTTCCCCTGGAGGATACTGTTCCAAGTTTTTTCGTCTGAGGAAAACCTCGTCTGTCGAAGACATTGAACGTCGTTACACCAGGATGATATACACGACGGAAACGGTTCTGCCTTCGTGCTAGGTTCGGTGATCACTTGCAATAAGACAGGGACAGAAAAGTCATACCCTTTGAAACGAGAAAGAAACCTGGTGAGCGATTTTGAGGGTCAGCTGAACGCTGCTCAAATCAGCGACGCTAACCAAGCAACCCAAAAGAACCCACAGTAAAGACACGAAGTCTCGAGCAGGCAACCTTGGATGTCGGTACGAAGCACAAACTGTGGATAACGTCACACGCAGGTCAATGCATATAACGCAACGATCGTCCGATAGGAACTCACCAGTAGATGCGAAATGCGTAAGTTGGTTAGAAAGGCGAGAAGAAACTGGGCTCTGCTGCTCGAGTGAGTCACACAACTTGAAGAACTGGGAAGGCGCTCACCAGCAGAGCAACGGTTGGTGGACGTTTGTGGGAGAGAGAGGGCACGGGGCTGGCGCAGGCGTGCGAAAAGCATAGGCCCCACCCCTTCTCTAGGCCCTGCCGTACACGTCCCTGGATGTCTGATGCTCCCCAAGAACTCAAGCTTCTTAGTCAGTCCCCCTCTGTGACAAACGCAATGGCGATACTCTGCGATACTGCATGCCCACCTGATCCAGTGGTGCGAGGCCGCCGTTCGTAAGGGAAACTGGCTATGCGCCCTTCCTGAAACTGGTTTCGTTGGTGGACCTCCAGGTACTGCCTATGCCGACCCATAGCCGATCGCTGACTTCGTCGCTGGTGGGGACCCTTGTTGGCGAAATTAACGTCTGCGGAACTACCGCTGCCTTTCTTCTGAAGGACATGAGCAGGCTCGTGACTGCTGATATAACGTCAGCTACCGAGTGCGTCGGACTGATAGAGTTCACAACCTGCCTCGTGCCACAAATGAAATGAATAGCATAGCGCCGTGTCTCCCAGGTTGCACTCAGATTTACTGTGCATGAAGTCGCGTTCGTCCCACTCGAGGTCGTACCACACGCACCTTGAACGCAGAGGAAGTTATGAGATATATTCCTATCGTTGCCCAACAAGTACATCTCAGCGACTTGGGAGTTTGCGTACTGGCCGTTTGTGGTGTATGCAGAAAAGGACATACAGGGTGACACCAGGGGCTACTCCACGACACGTATCAGGGGATAGTCGGCAGATCATTAGGTGTGCCGCAATTCCTCGGTATTGGTATACTGTATATACTTGTTACATTGCTTGGCACAGCACGGTTTCCAATGTATGCGTCTCTTCCTGCCCTGTGATGGTGTGAAACCGTTCAGAGGCCGTACAATGTGGTACCTGGTTCACCAGATGTGTTTGCATGCATTCTGGTAGTACGTAAGACGGAACGAAGGGTGAAATTGAAAAAAAGGCAAGTGGAAGGACATACTGGCACAAGGAAAACGCACATTCCATTATCAATCAAGGTGCGAGAAAAACATACACAAGGCAACACATGAAAGGAATGACCAAGTGGGTGTCGATGCCAGATCGGCGTGCACCCCTGGCCCGTACGCGACACAACATGGAAACAGCAGATGGCACATAAAACGAAATAACATACGTACTCGGAAGCAGGACAGGTGTACAGGTATGGCTGAGGATATAATTGGACAGTCTTGAGCACCACAGGAGCGGAAGTATGAGTGCAAATCTGAGTCGGAAGGTAGGGGAAAGCTGCTACACCGGTGCCATCCTCGCCGCTTTCATTCGCTAGATACGAACCTCGGGAATAAATAGACGACTGCATGAAAATGACGCGAAGGCGCCCCTCCGCCACCGCAGGAGACGTTCGAGTGAGAGATCGTAGGGATCGAGCATTGCTGGTCGGGGGCGGATTGGTGGTAGATTCTACAGGAGGTGCAGTGATAGAGTATAAGCCGGCGAGGGGATTTGCAGTAGTATTCGGAAGTAGCGTTCGTTGAACCAGCTTTTCCTGTGCATCAAAGAAGGGGTTACTTGCCAGTCTCTTCAGCGGAACGGCCACAAAAGAGAATTTTTCATGCGTTGCCTGATCACGTGCCTTGCTTTCGCACTTGCCTCTGTGCCACTCCGAGTCAGATCAAAAGATACAGCGCTGCTCCTGGCCTCAGATTGCATCGTATGGTTGTTGCCCTACTCCAACCGGCGTCTGCTCTCGCCCAGAGCTTTTGGTACATACCACACGTTACCACCTCAGATAACTCCCAGTCACCCTTAACCACTGCTGTATCCGACTGCGAACTCCGCATCCACCTTCTCTTCAGGCAGCCAGATTTCTTTGAGCACTGTCACTTGTGCGTGTGCGGCCGTGTTTCTTCTTGCTAACTTACACATTTTCTTTGTTCTAAGTGCTCTCCATCTTCCTGCTACGTGACGTCGCAAATAATGCCTCACATCACTCACTCGGGGTCGCTTACCAGATGTCAACGAGGATTGTTGAGAAGAAAAATTATCCATGAGACAATTCCCCCCTTCAAGCGCTACTGAGAAGCTGGCAGCGATGTTCAGTCATTCCCCAACTGTACCAATTCTGGGAAAAAATCATCCAAGGGCCCTCGTATTCGTGAATGTTGTGGTACATTACAACCTTTTGCGGAATACCATGCTGACCTGGTTGCTGAGATGTCTTTGCAGTGTAAGGGGAAGTGCAAGTACGACGTTCAAGGGACCCGGGTCAAGGCTAATAGCTGCTTGGAGATGATAAGACTGATAACTTTGATACTGATGGCTCTTTGACTACAGCCGAGTGGGGCATCGCGGTAGCCTCGTCGTCATGCATGCTGTATTGTCACTATTTCTTGAATGTGCTCTTCGAGAACAATCTCCTACATATTACTGCCAACCCTGTTTCCGGGCTAACCCCTAATCAGACGGTGTCACAGCAAACACCAGCATGGTCTTCCACCCCGCAAGAGTTGCCGTGCCCACCTACAGTGGGATTGTCAGGGAGGGCACCAGCTAGTGTCGGGCTTCGCGGGTTACTTGCACCCAAAAGGTATGGCAATTAGCCCTCTGTTTTATACGTGGATGTGGCATACAGGAAGTCGAACGGTGCTCCGTCGCGCTCGGGTGAGAAGACGTGCTTGATCTTCGCCAGGCGCTTCGGTGTACTGTACCTCACCACTCTGGTGATGAAGAACATAGCTGTGAATCGCCAGTGGGCTGTGAGACAACAGGTTGCTAGTTCCCATACTAATTCACTAATTAACTAAAGCGATGCAGGGCACCCCGATTCGAAAGCCAGGTACGGGGAAGTCGATCAGCGGAAAAATGACGGATGAACATCTTGATTGCCAAACGATAAAGTCAGTCGTGCCAGACGATGTAGTAAGTGTACAAGTACTTGACAGTGTCGTTCCTTTATATAGAGTACATCGCTATCCTTAAGCCATATAGACGCTGTCAGGATATCCGAAGCAATGAGGTGCAACACACGTGCACGCTCCGCTGCAGATCTGTATAAGCATGGCATACAGGTTCAGAGGGCACACAATAAATACCTGAGTGGCACCAATAGCCTAGGTAATTTATTGCGAGAGCTCAGGAACACGTTTCTTGAGCGGAACGCCAGCATCGAGCTTTTTGAATATTTCTGAAGAGAGGAGTCCATTATTGACCATGGCCTCAAGCAAGTCACGCATCCAGGTCTGGCAGTTATTGACACGGGATTTTTTGTTGAACTTAACGGCCTTTGCAAGTGCTATAATCTGGTCGCGCTGTGCCCGGGTGTACTGGCCAAGAACGTAAGATGTGTTTCCCTGTGTGGATCGATCGGAGTCAATCTTGACCTGCGGTGTGTGGAATTGGTAGTTGCCTGGTCCACCGGTGAGGTGGATAATCTGAGTGTAGCTATTTCCCTCTAGATCAACCCCATTCGTCCATTGAAGAAGAACGTGACGGTCATCGGGGTTTTCTGCCACCAAACCGTCTGCCTGGAGCACAATCTCCTTCGTGGTGTCGTTATCCGGGTACTGATTACCAAACGGGTTGATAGCGAGACGACGAGCTGCGGCAGCCATGTCTTGAGGAAATGAGATTAAGGAATGTAGTTTGCGGTAAAAGGGCTCACTGAGGGAAAAGTAGAAGCGGGTTCAATGAAACAAGCGGTGACAACCTGAAAGAGGTTCAAAACGTAGATGGCCTGGCAGACTTGAGACTCAGGGAAGCGACTATTCATGCAGTTTACGGGACTGGCGCTACTCCACTCTCGCAACCCTCCTTTCTGGGAGGTGACTGCCTAGGCAGAGCAAGTGTCTTGTCCTGCCCGCTCGAGTTCTGTAACATGAGTAATGCAGAAGTTTCCCTTGTCAATGATTTATATATTTCCCAACATAAAAGAGATGGTGACGAGTGCACCTCTGTTGAATTTTATGCAGTAGAACGATTGTTTTGAAAAACAATAGACATGCCCTAAATGAGTACTACAATAGATCTGTAGCGAAGAACCACTTCGATCCGATTCTGCGGAGTAAAGCTTCGAAGAGTATGATGGCGGGGAGTCACTTGATCAAGCACCCGCTCTGGATCATTGAAACAGATGGTGACGAACCCACCTCTGAGCGTTGTGGAACGGTTGTTTCGAAGAACATAGGCATGCTCTGTAATGGGTATTTAATCCCTGATCCAATTCTCCGGGATGGAACTTGGAAGAGTGATATGAACGAGGAGTCATGCATGCCTCACGCGCACGACTCAATAAAGGACATTCGAACTTCGAACTTCGCTTGTACCACTCCCTATGTAAATAAGTAAACCAGTTTCGGCTCTCGACCGCTCTCGAACTCGCCTTCCGCGCCTCTCCTATCGCCCATCTTCAGCTATGCCATCAGCGACTGCAAGTCCTTTACAATCTCCCGATATTGTCTTTCATATTCGTTTGTTCAGTGTGCTCCAGACACCTCAAAGGGTATTCTCCCTTCACCGGCCAACGCGGAGGAGCTTGTAGCCCTGGAACGTGTCACTCCAGGTGGAGAAAAGCCCGTCTCTAGATTCGCACTCGGTATTCTGGTCAAGTTCGGTTGGGACCATGACGCTGAAGTCCGTGCTCTGCAGTTCGTTCACGGACGCCTTTCTGTCCCTATACCTCGTGTGTTACATCACGCCCCCTTCCCCAACGCCGTCGTCGAGCCCTGGAACTGGAACACGAAGGGCGTGTGGTATTTCTTCATGGAAGAATGCCGTGACGTGCCCCTGAATACCGTTATTGGCAGCATGTCCCCTATCGAACTCAACCACATCGCTGATCGGCTGCTTGTCGTTCTCAAAGACATGCGCTCATACACGAGCACGATGATCGGGTCCGTCACTGGTGGTCCGTACAATAACCGGTTCATGCCCTACCCCCGACAACCTCCACACGCATTTTCGAGCATCCAGGAGTACCTCGACTACTATCGCAGCATATTCCTCGATTTCTGCGGAGAAGAATTCGTGAATGAACTGTTCAGCTGCTTTCCCAGAGGCAAATGTCCACCTTACTCACGGCGACCTTCTCCCCCAGAGTATTCTCGTCGAAGGCTCCACGATTACAGGGATCATCGACTGGGAGACCGCCGGCTACTATCCCGCGTTCTGGGAATATTGCCGGATGCACGACCCAAGGTTGATGACGCCTGCATAGGCTCACGTCCTTGCCCGCATATTCCCAGGTCCGCATCGGGAGAAGGAAATCAAAGCCGTATATCAAATCCTTCGTTATCTCCATTACGACGATGTATGCTTTGTGTAGCGCAGTCTCTGAGTCTGGCTTGACCCAGATCTCTGCACACCTGGTGGCTGCGCATGCCCTGGAAGAGGAGACTAAATCTTATATCTAAGTAGACTAGCTTGCCTCATTAGTGTACTCAACGGGCGTCATAGAGGTCTCGGTCTGGTCACCAGACTAGTTAGGCTACGCAGCAGTAGTGACACGAAGGGAATCACGTGTTGCAACATTAGCCAGCTGTCACAAATGTTTAGGCAAATCCTAACCACGGAAACCAACAATTTTGATCACCTGGTCAAGCAAGAGTTTGAAGCCATTCCGCCCTTCGTTGAAATCTTCTCTAGCATACTCGCTGTCTATTTTCTCTCATTCGATGCGAGCGGCATATACATCGAGCCATGCGGGCCATCCTTCCGTCGCGTTACCCGTGTCTAGGCGTTTCGGCTCCCGTGTTCCCATAAGGAGAATGCCAGTTTTTTTTTTGAATATACCATGGAAACTAAGTCTCTGATTGTACATCGGTAAGGCGAGCGTGTTAAGCAGGGCACAGCAAGCATAGACACCACGAAGAATCAATGGATGTCAATCAGTTCATGATATGCGAGACACACATCGTGTTAAGTTGCTGATGCGGGATACCAATTAGGCAAGACAGCAAGGCTGAGAGAAGACGGGACTCACATTGTAAGTATACTGGCCTTCTTGGTCGGAGTGGTCGCATATGTGGTGGGGGCTAAAAACATCCATAAATGCGTGTGTCTCGGCACAAAGTGAAACACCAGCCCAAATTTAGCGCTACGAGCTTACCATACTCTGTGGGGGATCAGATAGCCACAGCATGCTATAACGTGGAAACTAGCTAGCTTGCCCGTATTGATGACACCATGAATGAAGCCATGCGCCTGCCATGATACGACCATCCTGGCATTTTCTCCGAGTCACTTCAAAGACCAACCCCATCCCTCAAGCATAGCCGGCGTCGAGATTGACATTGCTGCGCTTGAGAACGCGCCGACAACCCATCCTCCTAGGATTCAGAAAGCTTCGTAGCCGGCATGCCGCTGCCCTCCACCGAAGAAAATATTGCACGTTGGGCCTCCCCACCACCTGGTCTCTCGCTTTAGTGTATGGCCGTAGTACGCGAAAGGCTCGAGACAGCACGTGTAACGACGAGAGTCGCAGAAACCTTCGTCTGGATAGGTGGCTTTGAAGCACCCTTGCCTCTCTCGCACATCATCAGGAAATTAACACTAGTGGCACTCAAGGTGGTGCTGGAAGCACTCTGGAATTGTTCTGGAATGGCATCTGCAACTGGCATTGGCCTTGTGGAGTTTGAAAAGTTATGTCTCCTCTATGACCACACATTTGGTGCTCTGCTTGCCTGCAAGCAATCTCAGGTCAGCCCATGGCATCTTCAAGTGAACAAGCCCATTGAGGAGGATCTGACAGACCCACTGGGAATTCAGGCTCTGGTCATGGATCAAGTGGTAGATCTACTTGTGGTGGAACCAAGGGCAAGAACCTGGCTTCATCCAGCCAGCAGGCTGTCACCACTACTGGTAATGCATCTACTACAGAAGGTCTTCAGCTGAAGAACATCAACTGGGATGTTCCTTGTACTGATATACTTGTCAACTGGTTGCTCACCCATCCTGCAAACTGGAGAATCCTTTTTAGTGATAAGATCACAACTGTCTCACCACCTTCACCTGATGAGGGGCCAGTGGGCCATAACAAGAAAGAAGTTCAAGCAATTATCACTGAAGTCATATTAAAGAATGATCCCTACTACAAGGACATTGTTACACTGCGCTCACATTCTTTCCTTTCATAGACACTTACGTACTATGCTTGCGCCTCGTCCCACCTGTGGGGACATTCTTGTATCCTGTAAGCTGCTGTCTTTGCAGCTGGACTTACGTTCCATATGTTTCTCCTTTCTTTCCCTTTTATGGTAATCCCCTGTCAAACCTGGGATTGTACTATAGCCAGGCTATGCCCATTTACCTTTCTTCTGTGATCTGCTGGTGGCTCTGATCCATGCAGTCACATGACACGTTCATCCCGGGTGAACGCTCCACTTTGACTCATATACGTTTAATCCCTCCCCCTCTAAACCAATGGTTTAGTGTCTAGACCTGCAAAGCTAGGTCCACAGTCAGGTTGCCCTTGCACCCACTGCCTTTGGAAGTTGGTGAGTGATTAAACCATGTTTTCAAATGTTTATGGTATGGTACTGTACATATGTATATAAACCTGCATGTATCGTACCAGTCCCTCATTTGAAATCTACTTTGCAACCACCCTTAGCTCTGCATGCTGAACCAACAAGGACTCGCCAGTATGACTTTGGTTGGCCAAGACTAGTGTTCCTCTGCTAGTGAAGTTAAATTATGCACCCCTTCTCACGCTGTCATGTGCCTGTGTCATTGACACTCGATTCATGGCATGATACAAGTCGTCGGCATAACAGAAGATTTCAAATCACTTTGGATACCTGTGGTCTGGAATCCTTGCTAGGCAAAATAGCCTGCAAAATGACCACCTCCCGCCACTCCAACAGGAACCACTGATTCGTCAGTGAGCTAGCCCCTAATCTTCAGGCACTAACTCTTCCACTTCATCAACATGTCTTCACACCGCCAAGAAGAAGGAAGCAAGAGGCCTCCATCAGCAGCCTCTCCGTTCAAACCTCCTGTACCATCCCGAAAAGGAAAAGAGGTTCTCCAAGCAAGACCACTTGTAAGACATCCATCTATTCAAACACCCAACCCACATATAGGTCTTGAAGACCTGCCAGTAAGACCCCAGCTCGGGCAAGTGGTAGAATTGACCTCACCAGTTAATTTCACTTCATATCGTGAACCTAGGCCTCTGAGCCCATACACCAAAACTCCAGGGATAGCCGGACCAGTGGACCCCTCAGTATCATCATCTACCGACATACACCTTCCTACTCCTTCAGTCAACAAGATGGCAGAAGAACTCACCCACCATGTGACTGGGCTAACCCTTCAAGATCCCTTCACCAGACAGAGTAAGGTCACTCCTGAAATGGCTGCCGAATTCTACAAGTTGCTCTTTAACTGAGATGTGGTAAGGCCTAAAGGCCCCTCCTGAGGTTCCGAGGAGAGAGAAAAGGAACATGACTCTAGGGGAGGAGGTATGAAAGAAATAGGTCTCAACAAACCCTTCTCATACAACGGAGCACACCAGGACTTCTCAGCCTGGTTGAGCAGTGTCAAACTCTACCTCGCTACCAATGACCATATCTACTACAAAGATCAGTCGAAAATTGCCTTCACCCTTTCCTACATGGGAAGTGGTTTGGCCTGCGCCTTTGCGGAAGCCTATGTCAACGAAAACATGACAGCCTTAGGCAACCTCAAGATCTTCGATGGATGGGATGAGTTTGTCGCTAAATTAAAAGAAACTTTCCAAGTTGGAGATGCCAAGGCCACTGCCTTGATTTATCTGTCTGCTATCTGCCAAGGGGACTGCTCCCTTGATGAATACATTGCGGATTTCCGAAACTGCCTCAACAAAGCCAGGATCTCTACTAGAGATACCACTGCAGCTGTTTTCTTCAGTAAAGGACTCAATGAAGAAATCAACAAATGGATCCTCATGTCGGGACCCAAACCCGACACCATACAAGATTGGATCCAACAAGCAACAGCAGCTAGGGCAGCAATGGTGACACTCAAAGTCTTCACTGGAAAGGTATCTTTCCAAGATTGTTCCTATTTATGGAAACAGGAACAGCACGGTTCTTACGGATCAAAATCCACTTCATCTCTGAAAACTCAGAACTGAGACCCTTATGCCATGGATGTTGATCGGAAGCCTAAGGTCCAATCACAGAAGGATGCTCCTACCTGTTATGGATGTGGTAAGACAGGGCATGTAAAGGCAAATTGCCCCTCATCCACAACGAATGGTAGGTCCCCCTTGAACCACAAGCTCCATACTTGCATCCTGGCTATGCTTGAAGAGCTTGACAAGAATTCCGAAGAGGAGGAAGATTCAGAACTGACCAACCACTACGATGGGGAGAATGATGAACCCACTGATGACGGAGGACCAAAAGGGAATCCAGATTTTTGAGAGACTCACCTTGTGTAGCATCAGGAAGAGAGCCTATAGTATCCTGAAAGATAGAGGTTAAGCTAGAGACCAAGAAAGTGTACAATTACGAGCAAGATATGTCCATCACTTCTATTGCCAGTTTTGCTTACCTCGTTGATTGCAAAAATGCTACTGTCCGAACAATCCTTGACTCGGGTGCAGAAACAAATATCACTGACCCTGCCATTGTAGAGAGGTACGACATCCCAATGCGAAAAATCATGAGGCCCTGGGAATCCTGAAGCTACAAAGGGAAGACCGGAGATTGGGTAACCCATATCACCTCCTTCAGAGCCAAGATCTGGGGGAAGACTATGTGCATCTGTGCGTATGTCCTCAAGCTCGGAAATTGGGAATCCCTCCTCCTGGGAATGCCCTGGATAAAGGAGCACAACCCCATCATTAGCTGGACATCAAGAAAGCTGATTGGCTGGGGGGAGCTCGACCATGGCCTCAACAAGAAAAATCAAGTATGCAGAACGGATTTTGCCTGAACCGTCAAGATAAGCCAGACGTCCATCTCCACAAAGCTCGAAGCATCGCATGTCCAAGCAGAGGTTGATTTACCATCGGAATATTGAGACTTCTTGGTAGTCTTCTCAGAAGAAGAAGTCCCTCTTCCGCCACATTGAGGTTTCCTCGACCATGAAATTTGCCTGAAGCCCAGCTTCCAGCCCAAGAAAGGAGCCATCTACCCGCTCTTGCTAGATGAACTCAAAGGACTTGATGAGTTCATTGAAGAAAATCTCAAATGTGGAAAGATATGCCCCTCCAAATTGGCTCAAGCAGCACCTGTGTTTTTCATAGGAAAGAAGGATGGGAAGAGAAGACTCATACAAGACTATCGGTACCTAAACTCCCACACCGTCATTGACTCTTACCCCCTTCCTGACATGAAAACCCTCCTCAATGAGCTTGCCAAGTCTCGTTACTTCGCCAAGTTCGATGTGTGATGGGGATTCACTAACATAAGGGTGAAAGAAGGTGATGAGTGGAAGGGAGCTTTTGTCACCCCAAGAGGACTCTTCGAACTGACTGTAATGTTTTTCAGTCAGTGCAACTCACTGCCTACCTTCCAGAGGTACATGGACCACATGTTCCATGAACTGAAGGGTGAAAGGAAGGCTGTGATCTTCATGGACGACGTAACCATACACTCAAAAACAAAAGAGGGACTGCAGAACACCATCCAAAGGTTTCTGGAGATCGCCTCAAAAGAACACCTTCGACTCAAGCTCAAGAAGTGTCTTCGAAACCGAGGAAATAGAGTTCCTGGGGTTCGTGATCCATCAGGGTCAGTACAAACCATCGGATATTAAAATCGAAGCCATCAAAACTTGGCCCACACTGACAACCCTGAAAGAACTCTGCTCTTTCCTAGGCTTCTGTAACTTCTACCAACAGTTCATTTCTGACTTCTTGCAAGTCGCTCATCCTCTCCATGACCTGTCCAAGAAAATGGAATTGGGGATCAGAACAGGCTTTAGCCTTTGAGACTCTAAAGTCGGCCCTCTTGTCAAAGCCAGTCCTCTGCCTCCCAGACCTAAAGAAGCCCTTCATGCTTCACATGGACGCCTCCAAGCTTGGTACCAGAGCCATCCTATCACAGGCTGATGACTCGGGAACTCTTCATCCCTGTGCATATATGTCTCAATCCCTTACCGGAGCAGAGCAAAACTACCAGGTCTATGATCTGGAAATGCTAGCAGTCATGTGCGCCCTCAAGCAATGGCACCCTTACTTGCTCTTGCCCCCAGAACTGACAATGGTCTACACCAACCACCAAAATATC